CCCTTAAGGTCCCGTATGGTAGTCCCTACTGGGGTTTCTGTAGGTTCAGGACACACCACTCACGAAGTTTTGAAACCTCACGAGCCAGGCTCCGAAGGCTAACATCTCAGACTCCAATAACACCAATATAGGGGCGGCCTTAATTACCTATACGATTTGGGGGGGCTCCTTATCATAAAGATAGTTTTATATACCCCCCCCCCCCCAAAAAAAANNTATTCAGGCCCCTACATTACCTGATTCCCTCAGCCCAGAATGCTCTGTCGCCTGCAGGCTGCGGAGAGCGTCGTGACCGCAGTGAGATCCGGAAAGAGGGGAAACCGCCCAGTACGCTGGGAGCTTGGAGGGTTTAGGGCTTCATGCGGCTTCACTGTTTAGGGTCTTGCGTTTACAACTATAACCAGGACTGAGTGACAATCAATGTCGTCATTGCTGCATGGATGACGACGTGCATGTCTCTGCCGTCGTGCGAGTATGAGGATGAGGCTGAGGATGACGGGCGAGGAGGAGGAGGACGATGGTGAGGATGATGACGATGACGAGGACAATGAGAGGGTGACGAGAATAATGATTTTATTGTTGTTCCGAGCCGCACCTGCGAAAACACGACACCCCAGAACCTCAAACAACCGAACATATGTGCGAAGCTCATCCTTAGAAGAAATCTACAGTTTTTTAAAGGAACCCGATGGAGCCTCAACCTAGAGGCCTTTGTAGCACATGAGGCGTCAACGCCCTGGGCGGAATGGCACTCCCATCATATGACGACAAGAAGCACGAGTTCGGCACCCTTAGGGCCTCGTGGCAGAGTGTAAGATCGAGGGTAACTTCTTCCAAACGGTTTAGCCTTTCAGGTTTAGAGTGAAAGCTTTGGGTGTTCGAATGCGTACTGCGTAGCTTCTATAGGGTTTAGGATTGTTTGGGTTTTTGTTTGGGGATTTTGGTTGTTTGTGGCTGTGGATAGTCGGACTCTCAAACTAGGACTGACAAAGGTCGGAGGAGCTTACAAGCAGCATAGAAGTTTTAATAATGGAAGGGAGCCTTGATCATGTTACATAATATGGTGTAGGGGTACGTGATGGTGTGTGTGTGTGTGTATGCATGTGTGTATATATATATATATACACATGCACCTGCATAATCCCTATATATATATATATATACATACAAATTTGTAGCTTAATCTATAGCTATATGTATAGAGCAACACTAAGGCATATACTACCAATCATCAGACCCCCCCCCCCCCCTATTTCATCGTTCTTCAGCACAGGCCTTGGTCCAAGCAGGATTTCCAACGCTAAAGTCGTACTGCTTTGAAGGAAGCCAAGCATTGAAGTGGAGGGAAGCAATGGTGCAGGGCTTAGAGCAGGATCCGAGAGGGAGCAGCTTCTGTTCTCACGAGGGAAGAGAGGGGCGGGAAGACTAAGAGACGTGGGGCAGAAGCAGAAGCCAACTCCCTCAGGAACAGACCGGGGGCCGCCCCAAAGTGACTCTTGCCTCTCGTTAATCAAGATCACGGAGGGCAGCAGCAGTATTGGTAGTCATTGCGCGGGTGGTGGTGGCGGCGGTGCCAGCAGTCGTAGGATACAACGCCCTGTAATGACCCAACCCCAAACCCTGGAACGCGTCGCATGCCCCTAAATTGTTGATCCCCCATGCCCCAGAGGGTCGCAATGTGCACGCTTTTATCCGGATAAACAGCCTTGTTTACAATAGGCTGTAGAAACCCTGAAGCCGAAATCCGAAGCCCTTCAACCCTAAACAACCCTTAAGCCCGAAACCCTCAACCC